CAGTCGCGTGGGGGTGGGCGTTGGAATTCAGTGGATCTTTTAATTTATTTCGGCAGCCAAATCATGATTTAGTAAGGACATTTTAGAGTAAAATTTCGCTACAAAAACAGTACTATGGGTTCGTAAGTTAATACAACAACGAGTTGGGTGGGAACAATAAAATAAAGTTACTCCGTTGTCATGCCTGGTCCAGCGCTTTTGAGTCGATGCCTGAAGCAGGGCTCGCCGTTTCCGTGTGGCGGGGTCCACCTGCCCCCCTTTGAGAATCAGCACATTACACGTGTGGCCAATACGTAATCTATATACTACTGTCTTCAATAACTCATTGACCTGGTTTATACAGTATTTAGTTCCACATTGTGAAAAAGCAGAGTAGTGGTTAAAAATTGTGGTCGGAATGTTTAAATCTTAAATTGTACTGTAGACATTAACCGTAGATTAACATAAAGACGCTCATGACTCATGAATATTCCTTCAAGTCTAAAAAGATACACAACTTTTATAACTTGTGTATCTAATTTTTAGGCCTTGCTTATTTTAAGGCTTACTAACTTCAATTGTTTTTGAGAGAGAAATTTATAATTCAAGTATTTTAAAATCAAATTAAAAAAAACTGAGCACGAACTCACGTACATCAGCGCTCCTTAAGCCTGTCCCGTGGACCAGCTAAATATGGTGCTAGTTATTCTAACCAGCCACTCAGCTTTTTAGGTACACCTAGCTAGAACAAAATTGGCCCCACTTTTCCCTCAAGGGTAGGTACGTACCTCTCTTCTGCGCACCATTGTTATGTGAGCTGTTCTTTTTGCACTTGTATCCTTCCTGTTGGCATTAACAAGTCTGGCCAGTTTCCTCTTACCTCTGTCATTAACACAGTGTTTTCAGCCATAGAACCACCGCTGACTACATGTTTTTTGTCTCTCGCCATCCTCTGCATGTAAACTCCTCGGGGATCCCCAGATGGGAGTTGGGAGGGAGCGAAAACATGAGATGTCTAGGGGGGGGGATCCCTGAGGACTGGTTTGAGAAACACTGCCGTAGACATTGTAGTGTGTGGAGATGCTCAAACAACAGTCACGGCACATTCAAAACTGCATAGATCACACCTTTTAGCTATTCCCATTGTGAGCCGTACAGGAACTGAAGCTCTTGATCCCTGTGTGCCGTATACACTCTGTTGTACTTAAATGACTCACTGTTTTGTGGAGCAGCCTATCTGCATTAGCAAACAGGAGTACCTAACAAACTGAAGTGTAGAGATCTTGCGCTTAAAAAGTTAGCCATGTGATTGGCCGTGTTGTGACAGAATGAGATCTCCACTCTGACATGGGTCAAACCCAGGCAGGTCATACCAATGACAGAGTGAACAATCAGCGACACAGTTGGAGCAAGGAGAACTCATTCTGTTGGGTAAGCATATCCTGAGTTGTCACATCAAACTTTCTGCCTTTGGTGGACCTTGCGACATGCTGTCACACATCACAAGCAGCAATCACACTTGCTTCACTAGCAAATCATGGCCACCTAGGGAGGTTTCTAGAACTTCTGCACTGCCCCCTGCCATTGGAAGCCAACAGTCATGTGGCAGCAAAGGGCATATATATAGGGGGATACACTACTAGATCTCAGTCTGCTTTGGAGTTGGAGTTGTTTTACTTGTAACCCTATTGCCCGCACAGAGCAGAGTTATATATTCATACTGATCCCAATTCAGTTGCTAAGGACTCGCTGCCTCTCTGCACAGCTGTCTTTTGTGCCTGTTTCCTCATGCAGCACAAAGAGAGGGTTTTATTTTTCACAAATTAGCACTCTGTCGTGTGCTCACGCGGGTGTCGCATGGAGAAGCAGGTAGAGCGGTGGGGGCGTTGACACGCAGGTTAGGAATGCCGGGCTGCGTCCCAGCTGGCCCGGGAAGCTCGTAGATGTGTCGCTGGAGGCGTCGTCTGGTCTTCGGAGGCAGCTAAAATCACTTCATGCTGACAGGTCCACGTCGCAATTTTTCAGTCAATTATACCCTTTGGAAAAGCTGAATCCAATGGATGGATGGATGGATGTTGCTGCGCTAGAAGCTAACTATCATATCGGATTATGAAGTCAAGGCACAAAAGTTTTATTGTAAAATGTGGAGTAGCGGAGTGGATGAAAAAACAACAGCGCTCTGGAACGATATTTCAACTAAAATGAAATGAACTGTAATGTACACGCCACCCGTTCCACCTCTGTGTGCTGTTTTATTGCATGCATCACAAACTCTTTTTTTTTTTTTGCTTAAATATAGCCCACGCATAAAATGTAATAAGTCAAAGAAGGACTTATTTCTTTTTTTTCTTTCTTTTTTAATGAGGGCGTAGGTTTGGTTTCAACATTGGTCGGAACCAAATCAGCCCAAACCCCTGTCCCCCCAAACACACACGGAACTACCACATTAATTATGCGTTTGGGACAAGTTACGTTATATGCAATTGGCGGTTATCGCTTACAAAGCGATACGCGCAAATTTCCAATTTTCTCTCTTTGGGTCTTTCTGTAAAAAAGAAGCCTCTTTTGTTTTGAATGCTCCACTTTCCTCTTGCAGTTCAAACACATTGTTAGGGAAATTGAGGACTCTGAAATTCTGAATTGCCCGTACTCTGTGTTGCGCGCGTATGTGCCCATAGATATAAACACTAGATGTCGCATTCAGCCTCTCAGCATGCGTCAATACCGCCGCCATATTGGGACGGGGTTCCAACTTCCAAGCTCACTCAACCACGCTTCTTTGACGGTCAGTACCAGCGAAGATGCCGGACTTTTGCTGAACAGGGTTGTGAAAGCAGATACAGGTTCTCGACCAGGATATATTTAATCTTTGTTATCACATTGCTGAAACTCAAGATGGCATGCATCGACAACCATCACTTCAATTTAATTTCACTTATTTTGTCTTGCTTTCACAAGTTGAGAGAACACCATGTGGAAAAAGTAGGCCTACATACTTTCCAACTATTAGGGATGGGTCAATCCACATTTTTTCAGTTCCAATCTGATTCCGATACAAGATCTGTTTTTACTTTGTTATACTTTATATAGGCCTATTAATTTTTCTAAGCTATTATATATATATATATACAGGTGGAAAAAAATATGACAAAAATATTGAATTAAGCTACTACAAACACACATAACGTACTGTTCCACCTCGTTTGTACGTCTTGTTTTAAGCGTTTTTGAGGCATTTGCAGTTCAATATGAATATCTTCAAAAGAAGTATGCACAAGTGCCGAATGCTTACTCCCAAATCGACTCCCAAATCATCCATTGGTTTTTTTTCGCTTTGTTAAGTGGGGTTGTCCGTTAAACGCTATTCCTACCCTTCAAAACTTTATTTTACAGAGGTTGCAAATCGCTGTGCTACTGGTTTCTGTCTTAATTATATCTTACGCTCCTCGTGCCTCATACTGCGAAAGGTATGCGCATGACGTCTCAGCAGGCGGAAGTCACTGTACTCACACCCACTGAGTAGCAAAAAAGACCGAGGGGCAGCGTTAGCGTTCGATTTGAATGCCACAAAAAGCACATGTAAAATGGGAAAGAGCTGTCGTGCGATTGATTGTACAAATAGATTTAACACGAAATAGGAGCTGTCTTTTTAGAGATTGCCAAAAACTAAATAAGTAAGTATAGGACGTGGATCGGTCACGCATGGCCGATACCCGATCCGTCAAATAGATCTGGATCGGCGCCGATACCGATCCGAATATCGGATCGGTGCACCTCTACCAACTACAGAGCAGCAGGTTGCGTAAGAAACTGTGTAAAGTAGTATTGTTACATGGATACTACATACTAGACACCGCCTCCATCTGTCTTCCCACTCCCACCCTACAGGAAAGACACAGCTTCTGTACTGACACCTGTATATATTGCAGTTCATTGTCTATAGTTCTTGACATATCTATACAAGATGCCTGTGGCTTATCATGGAGATTGCCAGGGTATTTTAGTTAACGTTGCTGGCCTTTTTTGTGGTGTTTGTATTTGCATTGTTCTGCATGTAGTAGGAGTGTAATAAAAGTACATATATATGCGCATTACATTTTGAACATAAAACTACGCTATGTTAACAAAAACCGCTTCGCTATCATTTTACTCGCGGCTCGGTCGTAAATACATGTCTGACATTTATAAGGAACCAAGAAAATAAAAATCGCTTCTCAAATTTGCGAATTTATAGTTCTTTGATTCTCTAAGCCACCTTGGCCCTGATAGACGTTCATTCATTTAAAAGGAGCTCTACCCCGTCTCAAGATGGCGGCTCTGTTGACGCATTCGCTCCCATTGACGACTGTATTCAACGCGACATCTAGTGTTTATATCTATGGTATGTGCCCTGCGATGCAACTGGCATCTCATCAAGGGTACACCCCTGCCTTGTGACAAACGCCAGCTGATTGGAACGACTGGAAGATGGATGGATGTAAAAGAACACGCGCGACATCTTGTGGCTAATAAACGACAGTGTCAAAGAGAGCTTTTAGTGAACATTCTAGGCGTAATTTCAGGTTATAGGCCGAATATCACCTCTACGAAACAATTAATTTTGTTTGCGCTTATTAGGCGTATATTACGTTTCTTGTGAAACGTAAGGTATTTATTTAAAACAGTCAAGTCCATAATAATACTTTATTTTCTCTTTAATGTAGGCAATTTATAATGGTATCAAGTTGGGAATCAAGACATTGACATGATTCTGTAAATTTTTCCAGAAAGTAAATTTTCAGAAAGTATCCCATTTTAACAATACTCACCCTAACTGTATTTTTTATGTAAAACTCTATTTCGACCTTGAAAAAAAATCACTTTAAGTTTTACCTAAATGTTCTTTTCCCAGCAAATTATCAAAAGTAGGAGAAAAAAACACGAACAAAAACGTTTCTCTAGAATTTCAATATGGGTATTATTCCAGTGAGCAATTTTGAAGTATGACGAAAACTACACCACACGATCAATAGAAAACGCTTTACCAGGAGTGGGGTTCGAACCCACGCGGACATACATCCATTGGATCTTAAGTCCAACGCCTTAACCACTCGGCCATCCTGGTGAACATAACCAATACGGTTTTCATGGTATTCATGGATTTATAGTACAAAAACATCTGTTTTTCGAGTGTTTGTGTTTTGGCTCTTAATCAATCCGTTTTTGCTACAACCCTTTTACTAGTGTGAGGTCCAATCACACAACATCTAAAGTGTGAAGAGGGAAAGCAAAACAGAGACAATCCACCCAGTTCTCCTGGGGGGGGGGGTGTTCCACGAAGCAGGATTAAGGGAAAGTCTAACTTATTTCGACAAGTCTGGCTCATTTAAGTGGGAGTTCCGTTCCATCAACGTGTCTTAAACGAGTCCCCGCTGAAGTACCATGGTAACTTACGCGATTGAATAAGTCTGCTCCGGACCAGGTTAACTGTCTCGCTCAGTTAAGCGTTGTCTCAAAGAACGTCCGACGTGTGGGAACAGATTCCCAAAAGATCGTTCCGACGGACGAAATTCCGCGATCTTACTACTCGTGTCATGTAATTTGTTGAATTATGTGTCCTCATCTGTCACAAAATTTCACATTATCTGATTGAATTATTTTATTAACCTGTAAGGTGTAATGTACCAAAATTACATGCCCCGATATATTTGATTTTACGACCACGATCTTCGTGTGCGAGTTTATTACCTACAGTGCGTTTCTCTGTTTTAAGTGACGTTTTCGTTTGAGTTAGCGGGAGATCGAGTGAGTCTTGTATATAAGTATATTTAAAAATGGAACCCTGTAGTCGGTGCTGTAAGTAAAATCAAGACGAGAAAGCAGAGAATAAAAATCATCTTTACTGAAGTAATTATCTGCGCGATATATCCATAATATGGAGAACAGAGCTGAGATTGCAACATATATGATAGTCAATATAATAAAGCCTATAAAAATCATGCCTCAGCATTCCAATTAATTCCAAAATAATTAAAATAAAAGCGTACCCATATTACAAAGGTCAAACATGAAATGCAATGACAAACTGAAAAAAATCCGTTAAAATAATATAAACAGGAAGATACTTTTATATTTTGTTTAGTCACAGTGTAATTTGAAAGTGTATTAGTAAAAAGCAAAGACAAGATACGTTTGGTTATTTGTGCAGAACAGAGATGCAATTGAAAGTATTGTACGGAGATCAATTCATACATAATAGCATTTACAGTAAGAATGACACATGAACTTAACCCGGCCAGCAGGTTCCTCGTTCATTACGGGGCTCAAACCAGAAACTTTCGTAGTGTAAGGCAACAGCATAAACCATAGTACCACCATGCCACTGTACATGCATATTAAGCACTTATAACATTTACGTAGCTTATGCATTTTGTCTGTCTGCAATTCATTGCTAAGCCAACTCCCTGGCTGTATTTTATAGCCACAGTATTGCCTTTTTTAGCGATTATATCTTTGCATTTTTCATACAGCTCCATCAGCAGCATTTGTTCTGCGGCGGAAAAAAAGCACCGCTCTCGTTTTACAGGCTTTCCGACTCATTTGGTCGATCTATAGTTCATCAGTCCATTTCATCTGGGCTTCTTAAATATCTCGGGTGTGAGCACCAAGTGAGACGTACTATGCAAGTCTGTCTTGTATGAGCCTTGATTAATTAAAGCTGAACTGGTCTTATCTTACCTTACATGTATGGACGTGCCTTACCTTGATTTTGTTTTAATTTATTTAGTTTAAATAGAGATTCCTGACAAAGTCAAAAAGCTTTGATGCAGTATATATTTAGAAAAAAGGGTTCTTGGGGGGTGCTATATAGAACTATAGGGGTTCTAACCAGAGTAAATAGAACCATTGCCTTCAAAAAGGTGCTATTTCTTTTAATTGAACCCTCTATAATGGTTCTATATAGAACCTTTGAGGGTGTCGTATATGTACCAAGCTATAGAACCCTTCAATATGGAGCCTTTTGTTTTAAGAGTATGAATAAATATATGTGCTGCTTTTATGCATTTTTAAACTTAAAAACAGGTCGGTGCCGACCCTAACAGCGCAGGAAGGTTAAATAATGTCTCTAAGGACTTATTTTTTTACTTTTTTCAAGTTGAAATATACAGCCTCTCAAGTTTTAGGATACCGAGGATTATCTTATTTTCCTAATTATGTCTATTTGATGTACGTCGCGGTGTTTTTCTTTTAACTCATATTTGTACTTATGCGCAGACCCGGGATGACCTACGGGGATGTAAATAACGGATATATCAGAAAAACCAAAACTTCAAACAAAAAAAA